GTCTTTTTTTTTTTTTTTTTAAAGATTTTATTTATTTGAGAGAGAGAGAGCATGAGAGGGGGGAGGGTCAAAAGGAGAAGCAGACTCCCTGCTGAGCAGGGAGCCCAATGTGGGACCCAGTGCTGGCACTCCAGGATCATGACCTGAGCCGAAGGCAGTTGCTTAACCAACCAAACCACCCAGGCATCCCCAGATCTCAATGTCTATACATATGTTTTCCCACTGTACACACTCTCTCCCATCCCTACCCTCCACCAAAGATGGGGGGGAGGGGGTTAGTGAGACAGAAGTTTCAGGATTGACCTTAGACACTTAAGGACTTTGGGCAAGTGAGGAAAAGGAAAACATAAACGTAGCTTTCCAATGAGAAAAGTCAACTATTCACAGCACTCACCAAAAACAGTGACCAATTCTGTTACCAAATCTTAGATTCCTTGTAAGGAAACCCTGACCCTACTTCTTTCCATACCACAAATATCTTAACTCTGAGTTGGCCTTTATTCTTCTAATGTAACATTGTCCCACAGAACTTTGTGCAAAGATGGATATGTTTAGTAGTAGCCACTAGCCACATGTGGCTCAGCTCTAGAAATATGATTAGTGCGCCTGAGGAATCAGATTTTTTATTTTATTTTAATTAGCTACCTGTGGCTAGTAGTTACTATACTGGACAGCACAGGTCTAGGAAAACAATACACAAAATCACAGAATCTTTGGTTCAAAATGTGCCTTCTTGGCATGTGGCACAGACTCACTATCAGTACACAGGGATAGGTGGTCTTCCCACATCTTTTAAGATTTCATATCTTAATAAAACAAAACAAAAAAAAGATTTCATATCTTTTTCCATCCTGCCTCCACCCATTCTTTCTTTCTGTATTCATTTTGCAGGTCTTCACCTACATTAGTTCCTATCCACATGTTAAACCTGCCTAAGTGGTTAAATTCTGTATGTTCACATCCTCAGGCTCTTGCAGTTAGAAAACCAACGAAACTGTCCTAGCTATGCACAAAGGTACAATTCAGAGTTGCAACAGGCAGCAATTTATAGGTCTATAATACTAGTCACCTTAGTCTTTTGTAGGCATAGAAACAAAGGATTAAAAACCACTCCATGCCATTATAATGTGCTCACTGCTGTTCATGTACTCGTTAAAGTTTGCCAACATTAAAGGGCTGACAACCTCACATACTGTACCTACTGCAAAAGGGATTAGCACACCAGGAGAAGGATTGAAGGAGACGAACAACAAAGACCTTGCAGAAATTTAATTCCACCATGAAGCTTGAGTGCTGTAGGGAGTCTCTGGCTTCCCTCCCACAGAAGGGTTCCTGGGTGAAGTCTGTATCCAGCACAGAGGGGAAGAATGCGGTTGCCATCCAGTAATGAGAGGAGGATGACATGGCTCACTAAGCTTGTCCTGGGGCACTTAGGGTGTGAGGCCCGTGCTTCTCCCAGGAGCCACTGGGGGGCAGCAAGTTCCTGGGATTAGCTGGTCATTTACTTCAATGGAGAAAGCTGAAACCTGGGTCAAGGATCCTTAAGACAAACACACTCTGCTTAAAGGATTAGCTCCAGAGGATCCCTGGGATAGGTGCCATCTTGGCTCAGACAGGAGTCATGTTTACATACTCCAGGCAAGTGAGAGACTCCCTATTGCCAGGAAGGAATTTGCTGTGCAAATCCCCAACCCGTGACAGTAGGAATGTTCCCTCATTTTCTCATCCATGCGTGCCCTGAACCGAAGGCAGCTGTGATCATGCTCCCCTAAATTGTCTTTATTGAACAGGTATGGCCAAGGTTACTCCCCTGGCCATTTGATGGAAAACAATGTTCAGAAAGGGAGATTGCCTCATAGTTCTTATCTTTACCATTGACCAGTTCTAAAACGAAAGGATAAGAAGTCCAGGCATGGGGTTAGCCAAGTTAGCAGGTTCCTCTGGACCCAGGATGACAGTAGGGAGTCTCTGGATTCCCTCCCACAGAAGGGTTCCTGGGTGAAGTCTGGACAGTTGTACAGTCCACTGCAACCATGGCTGCCCACGAGGGAACATCCATTAGGCCTGACCTGGATGCTAAAGCACACCCTGGAGCACCAGAATTAGTTGCTTCCAAACATGCAGTCTGCTGAGGAGCCAGATTGAGGTTGAAGCAGCTTTGTCCCCCAAAGTCTTCTCTGACCTCCGAAGGGAGAAATAGAAGTCCACACAAGTACCAAGCTCTTCCTGAGACTGCAGACCCACCAGACCTCCAGCAAAGGGAGGCAGATAGGACAGGAATGCACTATCCTGATGATCCACACCAAGACAGTTCAGAGTGTAAACAAAGCCCAGTGTCAAGGACAGAAGAGGAGGACGCAGTCTGGTGTGAGGTTTTCGGAAAAGGGAAATGACCACTTCTAGCACCAAGGTGGGCTTGGCGGGGTCTGCACAGCAGCTCCTCACACCAGCCCTGACAGAAACAAGCTATTTGGTGGCTTGAGTCCATGAGATGTTCTCTAAGCCATTGAATGGCTGAGAGAATCCAGGTAATCCACTTGAATTCTAAAACAGTTTATGTCCTCCTAAAGTTCATACCAGAAACCAGAGATTTACCTTCTATCATCTAGAATAAGGACCTGAGGTCTCAAGTAAAATAAGGGATTATCTTTCAGAATAGCAGTATTATCAGACTTCTGACTCATGAATTTGTTGATTCGTCTTTGCTGATTTGAGCCAGGTGCTTATAATCTGTGACCTACTAACTAAAGTGTAACCAATATATGAGTAAAAAAAAAAATCTTTAAAGTCTGCAGCTAAGACTCAACAGAATATTGTGCGTAAAACCAAGCAAAAAAAATCTGTGATCAGAGGCTGACCCACACCACCACGCAGAGACACCTCTAAGGGCAGAAGGACTCGGTTGGGGGTACTTTTGAGTTTTTAAACACAATCAGCTTATTGCATCCTGTAGATGAATGAACACCAGTGCTCTGCTAGAATTGGTGTACTGGATTAAATATCAATAAATAATGAAATACAACTGTCTTCCCAGGGAAAGATTCTGAGTCAGAGGAAGAAATGGTAGCATTTCAGGCCTCTAGAGTCAGTGCTTGGACCTGATCAGAGGGAACCTTCCCATAAAGCAGCCCCTTTGTAGAGGCTCCTGATGCAAACCTCAAATAACAAATTCAGAACCACCAGCCACATCTATTAACCTAGCAATCCCTCTTCCCCCAGTGCAGTTCGCCAAGTGTTTGGTAAGCTGTACCTACTCACCAGGAATAAAACTAAACAACTATTCCCCTGACCAAGCCCTCCCCACCACCACCCTCTGTAAAGTTCCCACCTTCATGCTTGCCTCAGACCCTGAGTCTTCTCCTGTAGCTTACCAATGAGAGTGACCACCAGAGCAGGCCATCAGCTCTGAGCCCCCCTTATACAATGTGGGCCACCAAACTCCTTTAGAATAAGAGGGGTGGGCCTGCAGTCTTGTCATCTGGACTTTGGTGGCTGTGGTTGGCCTTCCAGGCCTCAAGGGACATCACCTCTGGCCTCTAGTCCGTTTTCCTCTCAACTTTTTTTTCTTCAGTTACATCAAGCTCAGTCAGGACGCAAAAGCAAAGCTGCTGGGTGACTTTGGTGACAGCAGCTAAATGAAAATAGAGAACAGAATTCAGCAAGCTGACAGCTACAACCTCAATGTGAACACCCCAAAGTTGATTAAAGCAGATCTGTGGCTCCTTCCCACCTGTCCCCTGGGTGTCCTGCACCAGGCTTTGCCTCTTACCACCAGCAAGCATCACTGTCCTTCATTCTGTGCCCAACCAGAAAGTAATGCATGACTCCTCGTCTTCCCACATGGATTGCACTTTTAAAAGCGAGTGTTTTAACCCAAAAATAGGACTCTAAAGTTAGAACTAAAGTGCTCATGTCAAGATCAAAAGGGAAGAAGTCATATGGAGCAACCAGGTCTCATGGTCTCTAGCACATCACTAGTATAGGGGAAGCTGTTAGCTACCACTCCCACCTCTGCATGCATCTGCGTGTACACACACACACACTCACTCTGAATAACGGGCAAAAAAGCTCACCCAGGACATTTCGAATAAGGACTGGCCTCTGGGACTCAGGCAAGTAAACACCCACGAAGTAGACAGGAATCCCAGAGAGGGCAATCCCGATGCCAATGAGGGAATTGATGGTGTCGCTGTATAGAGGCACAATCACCAGGAACAAGGAGCATATGCAGAACACGATGGGAAAAAACAGGCTCAGCTGAAATGAAGGGAGGTGAGATATTAGGTAAAGTGCTATGGGGGAACAGGGTTTAGAGAAGTCACCGTGGGGAGATGGCCCATCCCTCCTAGTCTGTCCAGAGTCACTGACCTTGAGAGGCCGGGGTCGCTCAGGCTCCTTCCAGCGAAGATAGAGCTGTCCAGCAACAGACAGGCCCACAAAGAACCAATAGCTGAAGCTGAAGTAGTTGATGAGCAGGAAAACATCTTCCACAGTGAGGTAGATGAGTGTCATGGTACACTGGAAGGGGACGGGATGGAAGGAGCAGTGGGCATTGTTACCACCAGGTCACCATAGGAGACTCCAACCACCCAGCAATCAGCACCAGATCTGCCGCTCACCACTGATTTAGCTTACCAGGTTACCTCCAGTTCTTTCCATTGATCCCTTGGCATCAGATAGGTCTAATCTCTGTATTAACCTTCAAGGTGGCATCTCTCCCTCTTCTGTTGGGGGCCCTTCCCACACACAATGCCTCCCTTCTTTTTGCAAGCACTTTAGTAACAAGCCAGACTCCCTTCCCTTTTTTTTTTTAAAAAGATTTTATTTATTTGACAGAGACAGCGAGAGCAGGAACACAAGCAGGGGGAGTGGGAGAGGGAGAAGCAGGCTTCCTGCCAAGCAGGGAGCCCAATGTGGGACTCGATCCCGGGACCCCAGGATCATGACCTGAGCCGAAGGCAGACACCTAACGACTGAGCCACCCAGGCGCCCTCCTTTCCCCTTCTGATGGCAGAGAGTGAGGCCCTCCTCACTTTGATGCACCAACCTCAATATGAATCACTTTCCCCTCTGGATACCATTACTCCTGAGTCTCAATTACCTGGCATACAAACGGAGTAAATGCCTCCAGAACCATCTCACTGTCCTGGGGTCTTAGAAATGCAGATTGACGGGGCGCCTGGGTGGCTCAGATGGTTAAGCGTCTGCCTTCGGCTCAGGTCATGATCCCAGGGTCCTGGGATCGAGTCCCACATCGGGCTCCC